GTTGTTGACAGCGTCCGGTGTGCCCAGGCGGCCAAGAAGGCCAACAGCATCCTGGCTTGTATCAGGAATAGTGTGGCCAGGAGGAGTAGGGGAGTGATCGTCCCCTTGTACTCGGCAGTGGTGAATAGCTCGAATACTGTGTCCAGTTTTGGGCCCCTCACTACAGGAAAGACACTGGGGTGCTGAAGCATGTCCAAAGAAGGGCAACGAAGCTGGTGAAGGGTCTGGCGCACAGGTCTTATGGGGGGCAGCTGAGGGAACTGGGGTTGTTTAGCCTGGAGAAAAGGAGGCTGATGGGAGACCTTATCGCTCTCTACAACTACCTGAAAGGAGGTTGTAGTGAGGGGGGTGTTGGTCTCTTCTTCCAAGTAACCAGTGATAGAACAAGAGGAAATGGCCTCAAGTTATGCCAGGGGAGGTTTAGATTGGATATTAGGAAAAATTTCTTCACCAAAAGGGTTATCAAGCATTGGAACAGGCGGCCCAGGGAAATGGTTGAGTCACCATCCCTGGAGGTATTTAAAACAGTGTAGATGTGATGCTTGGGGACATGGTTTAGTGGTGGATTTGGCAGTGTTAGGTTAATGGCTGGACTTGATTCTTAAAAGGTCTTTTCCAACCTAAACGATTCTATGATTCTATGAAAATAAAAAGTACTCAAGATTAATTTAGGGAAAATATTACAGAAATACTGTATTTTAATATTGCATGTGTTTTCATACATTACCTTTGGAGCTCACAATAGATGGGTAAGACTGAGGTATGGCAGAGAAAAGAGAAGGCCATAGTTGGTATTGCATAAGCACTCTAAAATAGAAGAAAAACATCTTGTAGGTTGTTTGTTATTACAGATGGTTGGAAAAATATCTGGATGAATTCAGAATTCCGTTCAAACGTTGGAAGTCATTGGAAATCTTTCCACATTAATGCTTTGAGATAAATCTCACCAACACAGAATGGCGTCTCTGAATCATTCCACAAAAAATGGACCTTTTCAGCTAGTATCTCTTCCAGTGGTGGTAAAAGCTTACTATTTCATGATCAGTAGAGGTCATGCTGTCTGTAAGCCAACAACTTAAAGGTTCTTTTTTAGCTATATCGAGGTAAAGTACTTATGTAAAAAGAGTAGGATTTGCACCAGAGCCAGTGTATCATTCATGAAATTTTCTAAGAAGTTTTATAATTCTAATATTCATAGCTACCTGTCAAATTACTGATTCCTTCATCCTGACTTCACTATTTTCTTATTACTCCTTCACAAAAATTTGGATACAGCATCCAGAAAATATAACATGCTTTGGCATCTAAAGTTTTAAGTAGTTATATAATTAAGGTTGCAACCACACAATTAGTGGTATATTATTCCAAAAATTTCTAATAGAAGAGATGAATCATCCAGTACGGCTTACTTCAATTGCCAAGTGGAACAAGCTGACCTATAACAAACACTTTTGTGCTGACATAATCAGGCGCGTACTGGTAAAAATATGCCACTTTTTATTGACAAAATTAAAAAAGAAGTAGAGATGAGTCCCAAGATTCTTCAAAGCACAAAAGGCCAGACAAAAGGCCAGAATCTCATGGTAGACGTTTCTGGTCAAAGCAAAATTTCTTCTTTGATCTACAGATAACATTTGTCTCATGTTTGCATTGCCCAAGCTTTTTTTTCCCCCCCTCTTTTTCTTGGGAGGGTGGAGGTGGATTTTGTTTTTTCAGACAAATGCAACCAACTGCATCCCTCCTGAATTCCACTATGCTACAGGCCTATCCCAGATTTATTCTTCCCTTTTTCCCTTCCTCTTTACCCCACACAGACTGGAGTTCTACATACTTCCTCTCCTGCAAGCCTTGATGGGTGGTGACATGATTTAAATACCACATTAATTAACAAATACCAGAGCTGGCATCCAAGGAAATGCACAAGATTGTGTTAGGCCTGAAGAATTAGCTTCAGGTAAGAAAAAACTAAGGTTAGGTCCAGGCAGTTTCAGGAAACCTGCTCTACCTTGCCAGGAACTAAAAGTGTGCATACAGCCAAGTAGCACTGACTTCCAGCTGAGGGCATATTAAGTTGGCTTGATCTGACTGCATCATGAGGCTGACCACTGCTGCATCTGTTACACTTTATACTTTGGTCATATTTGCAAAACTTTTTCATAAACGCTAACTTAGACAGCCAGCCTTCATATAAAAAAGAAAGAGTGAGACTGGGTAACACTTGGCAGCAGGTATAGGAAATATTTCAGCAGCCTATAACTAGTTTTACAGAAGAATAGCTTACCCTGGATAGAGTTTAAACCCCAATTCTTTAAAAGCCACCACCCCCCTTTAAGTTTGTGTATTGTTAATAGAGATTACCTCTTTTGAAAGATGAAAGAGCTTTGCTTTACAATCCCCAGTAGAATTTGAAACCTGTAAGACATACAATGCAAAAAATGGCATAATGAAAGAATAAGCCCAAACCACAGACATGAAACTTTTTAGTTTCTGTGATGATTAAGAAAAGAAGGAATTGAAATTACCAGTAATTCTGAAAGCCTAAATGTAAAAAAGCATTACAGCTATTAAGAAAATTAGAAGAACTTCAAAACAGCATGCACTTTACCTGTAGAGTCTCTGTGGCACTACTTAGAGGTAGAGGACAAGGGATCGACCATTTTTTTATCATAATCTGCAAAGAAAGCATATTTAATGTATGAATGATACCCTAAAAATCCGTTTAAATTTAGATATACGTAGCTAAAATAACGGACTGTTGATATACAAAGCAGGGAGCTACACCCATAGTAAATTAACAGGCTCGACTGGTAGATAGTTAGGCCACAAGAAGGAAACTTGACAGGAAAACTTGTCAGTGCCATTCCATACAGCTGCTTACTCTGCACAGCTGGCAGCCTTATGGCACGCTATCTGGAGGTGGTGCACCGAAATGAGCTCTGACATTCACTGAAATACAGCCATCACTCTGCATTCACTCTCTCTGTGCTTCACACTAACTGCCTCCCGTACAGAATAGCTGCTGTGTTAGCTATCCCAGGCTCTTTCCCTAAGTAGACAAGCCCTTAACAGAGATAGAGCAGAGCCTAGGGCTAATCTTAAAAGGCAGAAACATATGGTTTGGACTAGAAAGCAAAGGAAAAATAATAAATGCAATTATTGTCCCAGAATGTCATTGGGGCTTTAGCTATACCCTGCTGGTTAGGGACTGCCAAGTAAAAGGGCTGAAAATCAAAGGGAAATTAAAATAAGAAATGTTACCTCCTTTTTCAGGAGCCTAGTTTAAAATGATAGTTACATTGCTCTCCTCACCCTAATTAATTTCCTATTGTAGTTGCCTGGCTTTAGAGGTTATAATTCTTTTGAAGCCTAGAGCAAATAATTAAAAACTTAATTAAAGACTCAGATTCACAAGAAGAATAACATGGAAGAGAGCGCTTCTCCTGGCTCAGAGAACTACTTTCTGCTTGCAGCCAAGTGGTGTTTCCCAGAGGATAACCATTAGATGCTCCCTCTTGTCACCAGTGCCAGGAGAAGCAAATAAATGCTACCTCCGGACGGAACATGGGGAAAGGAAACTGCGGGTACACAGCACGCCAAGTCCACTGTGGCAATAACATGTCTTAAATTGCATGACTAAGAACAACCCACAACAACTCAAGGTATGGAACTAGGTAATAGCTTGCTCAACAGCAGTCTGCAAAGTTTGTGAAAAAGGACTGTCAATGGAAATCCTCCAGCTATGTTTCTGACGCTAAACTGGCACCACTTTATACCAGGAGATCGGTTCTTACCTGCTTATTGATTGCCTAAACTGCTTCCTCTGTGCAACATGAACCACAACCTCGTCTGAGGAAGGGTAGAAGAATGGACAAGAACATGCTGGT